TTATTACCGGTTTTATGTTCAGGTTACGTATATGCCAAGATCATGATATTGTTATTATATTCACTGTTTACATTAGTATGAGTTTCCACGGAGCACAGTGTTATAGTGCTCACGACCCACTTTTATCATGTTTTTCAGATCAGGATGTCGGGCCGGGAGCGTGAGATAACGGATGCTTCAGGACTTTTATGCATGTGATTGTATATATTTTGATGATACTACGTTTTCGCTGATTTTGATTTTGACAAACTTATCTTTTGAACAGACTCTCAGATAATTAATGTTTTCAGTAAACCGTAAATTTTGTTAAAGATTAAAATAACGATTTCTCAGAATAAGTCACGTTTTACGGTAGCACCTCGAATTAATTTTCGCAAAGTAAAAGATTTTATTTTTAAATAACTTTGCGAAATTTACGCACTCTGATTTCACGATAAGGCGGGGTGTTACAATTATAGTTAGTTTTATTCACAGATAATTTTTTTCTGTATATTTATTTAAAAAAATAATACAATTTTTCTAAATATTTTATACTTTAACATTATCACATATTTTGATTAAAATTAAGTTAAAATTTATTTTGAACCTTAAAATAAATTTGAATAAGCTTTTGCATAAGTGTAAGTTATGAAATAATTATCTTATTAGATAATTTTATTAAAGATATTTTATATTTTTCATTATAAGTACTTAAAAAATAATTTTTTTTTTAAAAAAAAAATCTTGTTGTTTACATAATTATATCAAAATACAAAGTGATTTGAAGTCTTAAATTGAAAAGTAGAATGTAAAAGTAAGTCTTATTGAAAGTGACATAAAATTGAAACCTTCGAATAAAAATGTTACAAATTTAGGCCTTATTGTGACACAATAACAACAAGTCAAACCTTACTATAGAATTTCCCATGTAACTTTGTGGGGTAAAAAAAAAAAAAAGAGAAAAAAAAAGGCAAGTGAGCGTCCAATTCAAATCATTTCACTTTAAGGTCCTACTTTCTCTATAAATCCACAAAATTCATAAGAGAAAATACACGACACTTTTCAACTTTCCCTTTGTAGTTCACAAGTGCAAGATCCAATAATTACAAAAACTAAAAGGATCAACTGGTTTACATTCCAAACAAAAAC